AAAATCCAACAAGCTGTGACTGCATTAGCTATATCTTCCGGTCCTCTATAATTCATTGTAATGCATTATCCATCCATCCATCCATCATCCATCCACCACTTAATCCTCACTAGGGTCGTGGGGGGCTGGAGTCTATCCCAGCCGACTCAGGGTGAAGACAGGGGACACCCTGGACAGGTCACCACTGGACAGGGCTACACTTAGAGACAGACAACCAAGCACACTCACATTCACACCTATGGACAATTTAGAATCACCAATTAACCTCAACATGTTTTTGGACTGTGTAGGAGGAAGCCGGAGAACCAGGGGAGAACATGCAAACTCCACGCAGAAAGATCCTGGTGCCCCCATCGGGATGCGAACCAGCGACCTTCTTGCTGCGAGGCAACAGTGCTACCAACTGCGCCACCCTGCAGCCTGTAATGCATTATATACAACAATATTTCTCTCGTGTTTGCTACGGTATAAACCAGCAATCTTTGCAGTACCAGTACCCAATACTAGAATTAGCAAAGAAAACAATGGAACCATTACACAGCCCTTCGAGCAAATTTGAGAAGGAAGTTTCCACTTTCAACCTTGAGTTAATGTGTCCAAGTCGACTAATTAAATTAAAGGGCATTCATAGTAGCGATTGCTCTATGATGGATGAGTCAACACATACAGGATGGTGTAATTTTTCCATGAATGACTGATGAATGATCAAGAACAATGATGCCAGCTACAGATACTCCTCATACAAAATGAGTCATCCTTGTACCAGAACATCTGATGGTATTAAGGAATACACAGAGGGATGAATCTGCTACCCGTGCGAAATTTTCAGATTACAGGACGCTACCGGTGGGTGGATTGGAAGCCACTAGGTGACACAACAAGGTGCCCCTCATCTTTGTCCCTGTCGCAGCTCTAACCTCTTACGGCCTGCGGTTTTCAATCACCAGGGGAAAGAGGACCTGGAGGCATCCATCATCCATCATAGTGACAGTGGCGGTGCTGTGGTTGGCACATATGCTGGCTGCAGGAGTACATGTATGTCAACAGCACGCTACGACATCAGAGGCTGGCTTCCAAACGACGTATGACCACAGAGAAACATCCACATCTTGATTTTTTATCAGCAGCACTGCACTCCTCGAGTACATGTGTATGGAACACGCTGCACTTTGGTGAGTTACTGTGTTCTGCTGCCGCTTTGTAGAGATATACGAATGGCTCACAAATTAGAATTGGTCCAGATCAGGAAATGAGATAATACTCGGTGCACTCTATTTTTTAAGAGGGCCGAGTAATTCACTGGTTGCTTATCAAATGGAGAATCAATTTCACACATTTTTAATGGCATAAATTGAAAAAGGAAAGGAAAAAAAAAAAAGCTGTGATATGGTTTTCAGGCCAGGGCTGTCCTTCATTCTAGATTAAAACCAAAAGAATTGCACATTTTCTGTAACAATGCCCTCTACCCGAGCAATGGGTATAAGAATATGAGGAATGTGGCCAAAATCATAGATCTCTCACCGTTATTATATCTATAAGTGCATGCGGCCAATTTGCAAAGCATTCCTCACTGACAGATTTTCAGTTTCAGGAAGGCTACAAAAGCTGAGAACTCTCTGATATAACAAGTACGAGCTGCGTGTGTTAAACCAGAAGGTTTTGGTTGGAAATCAACCACCATCTGAATATGCTGCTGGTGATTTATTTTGGCTGAAAGGGGTCTTTATCAAAGGTGGGAGAGAAACATAGTGCGAAGACCAGCGCAGTGAAAAGGTTACCATGGTGAGGAGAGGAAAATTACTGAAAATGGGAAGGTGATACAGAGTGGCATGTTTGTTTTTCTTCTTTAAACGCCCTCCATGTCAAATATAATATGTGTCTGTGTTAGGGGTGTTGATTGACAGGAAAACTAGGAAATCTGAGGGTTTTTTTTGTTTCTTCTTTCCTTCAACAAGACCTGACATTCAGTCGCAAAACATCTCAGGAGCTTAAAACCTGAGTGTCTTAAATGTGGTTTCTAAGACTTGCATCATGAGCAGGGAAGCTACAGAAATGTGAATAACATCGAAGAATATGAATGTGCTGTATGTTAAACATTGTTCTATACGCTACGGTGGAGTTATGCACTGCAGATGCAAATACAGTGTTTTAGAGTTAACAAGACTGCACCATGTCATGGTAGCTGAGCGAAAACCTACAATTAAATGCGGGAAGGAAAAACGTATCCTACAACATATTCCCTCACCCGTGCATGTAAACATTGTCAGGCCTGTTTTTATGTGACATGTCTTTCTGTGCTAAATAAAAGCCAGGATAGGTACCTGCACAAGTATATAGTTTGCTTTAAGGTGGAAAGTTAGCTTCTGCTTTTAATGGAAATGAGAATACACTTGTTTATCTGTGTTTTACATATATCAAATCTGTTCAGTGTCATAAAGTCAAACATTCACTGATTTAATTGACAAAGAACCTTGACCTCTCCTGCTAAAAAAAATGGATTGCAAATGTGCTGTTGCTTTATAGACAAATCTTCAATCATATACTCTTCTTAAATCATTTATTTTCTCCTCCAGCTGGGTAGATTAAAGGGAAACAGGTTTTGCACCCGGTTCAGTTGTTATTAGCGCCATTAAATGGCTCTCATGAGTTTTTATCACTCTCAAAGACATCAGCAGTAGGTGTCCTGCTGGCCAGAAAGTGTTATCATCTGTAGTGGTCACTTATAAACCGGCAGTAAGACTGATTATTTTTGGAGACCTTTTACAATCATGTTGTCATGTGTAGGAATCCTACATCAAAATGTAGCTTTGTATCATGTGGCTAGTGTACAAAAGAGCACATTTTAACCACAGAATGTATAAAAGAGGTGCCTGTGGTCCGAAGCGACTTAAACCTGCATTTTTCTCATGTTCAGCAAGTCTGATTGTCTCTAAAAGTCTTTGAGGAAATGACCCTACTTCTCACTTGATTGATTTTATGGATTCAGTTGCTAGTTTTGAGTCTCCTTCAATACGGCATGGTGTTCATTTTGGTAAATTACGGTCCCATCTAAAGTAAAACAGACCATAAAGCAGGATACGCTGAAGGGCATGGCTACCTTGTGATTGACAGCTTGCTGCTGCATGGGTGTGCGTCCTCGAGTTTTCAGTCACGTCATGTGTCATTTTCAAAATCGAACAACGCCGAATTCCCCAGGCTTCAACAACATTAGTCCACAAAACAATGGGCGACATTATGGTGGCTATATCTAGTTTTTGTGTCTTTACTCCAAACTATAACCTTTTCCTAAACCTAACCAAACAGGTTTGGTGCCTAAATATAACCACGGTGATTTAAAAAGGGATGCTGGAAGAATTGGAGCAATAATGAACGGACAAAGGTGGCATTTAAGATTTGTTTTTGAGTGCTCCTGACTAAGCGAGGGCATCCATGTTTATCTTTTTGTGGGTAGAGAAATGGTGCAGGGAAGATTCTGGATCTTGCTCTGACGGTGCAGTGCTGGATTTACAGTAATTCTGGTGTTTTTGGGGTAATTAGGACATAGGGGAATATTTTGGCAGAAAATAGTTTTCCCACATACAAAGGCTTGCCTACACTTCTTTAGGCTATCTACACATCAAGGGGTCTTTGCAGTTCACAGCAGCCTCTCTGAGAGGTGAGTGACCAGCCGGTAGCTAACATGCAAGCAAAAGCAACGTCTTTGAGGCGAGACACAGAGAAGCCAACAGAGCCTCCAGGCAACTGGCAAAAGTTTGATATCACTTGGCGTTTATTTAAAGAGCGATGCTATCCGTTTGTCTTTCCTCTAAAGCAACAGCGGGCCAAGGTAAACTGGCAAAATACTGTCGGTAACTCCATACTCCTACGCCATACGTTTTCGCCTGTCCCTCCGTTTCTCCCTCTTTGAGGTTATTAGATGATAAAATGCTCCCCTGCTGATTGAATCCAGAGAACGATAACCTTCCCGTTAGCAAGGTAACACTCTCCCTGGAGCTCCTGGTATGTGTGTTAGTGTGTTGTTGAAGGCAGGTCAAGCCTCGCAATAAGAGTAACTGGGTTGTAATTAGACTGCAAACATACATATGAGAAACCCAAAGGAAAATGATCATCATGTAATTCTGCGAAATAAAATGCAAACTCCAACATCTCTCTGCATATCTACCTCTACATGGGCCTAATTTAATTAAACTGAAATAAATACTCTGGTGGCAGTGATGAAGTGAAATAATTAAGAAGCTTTAGTACAAGCGTTTGTCCATTTCTGTTTGGATAAAGCACTTATCTGCGTTGCTTACAGGCACACAAGGATTAATGCAGATGCACACATGCGTACATATTTCCATGTGTTTTGTGTGTGAAGGGATTGTCTGCTTCGTGTTCAATTCACTGATGTATGAATGACCATGTGCACAGATTTGCGCATGGGTGTCAAATCTGATCTTGTCCTAACATTGTCAACAGATGGTTTCACACACGTGCACATACACCCACACATACACTGCCCACACACACACACACACACAATAATGTGCAGCATGTAAACTGAAGTCCTAGGAGCCACACCTCTCGGCCACATGGGGGAATCTCTAAAATATAGATCAAAAGGCTGAATTTCTGTCAGGCATTACAAATCTTTTGATGGAGGGTTTAAAGGGCCTCTTTGAACTGCCTCGTTTTTTAATTAAAGGCCAACACGCAAAAGACAAAATTCAAATCATAAATTCTCTGTCAAGCAGAGAATGCGACCTCCCTGAGGTGGTAGAACAAGTCCAAATAACAAGACAAACTTTTCTTCTCTATTCATCATTTGAAGCAGGGTACACAAGTCAACAACTGGTTATATGGGATAAAATTCCTTTACGATTTTAACAATGTATGTGCTACTACATCGAGGTATAAATAATTCTCTGTACAGAGAAGTGTGCTCATGTGTAATGCATCGAAAGTGGCAAAAACAGCTCTGAAACCCTATCTCACATCTCACAGAAACATAATCCTACCTTGTCGGACATCTCGGGGTGCTATGGCGATTGCATCATTGGAATGCAGTTCAGTGACGCAGCAGTCATCGGGAACCTGCGATCCATTGCTGAAAGTGTGCGGCGTCTCCGGGAGCAGCGGAATAGGTGGCGCCATGATGTTGTGATTCGGACAAATACAGCCTGTCTGCGTCATCCCGCAACCATCTCCATCGGAAACTTCCTGGTCTCCATTTTGATCCGTACGCAAACACTCCTCGAACCATCGGCAGAGCACACCACAGGTGAACTGACTGGAGTTCTCATTGTTAATGAGCAACACCTCGACCAGTCTCAGCTCCAGCAACTCCTTAGTTACCTGAGGCTCGTCTGCAGCTGGATGTCTTGTTAGACACAGTTGGACAAAATTCTTATCAAACTGTAGGAAGGAGTAAGGTCCATCTGAGTTAGGTTGGCTGCCACAGAGATCAATGACTTCCTGATCTCTGGCAGTGGCCGTCTGTAAATGAAGGGGACAGCTTTGATTGGCCAGGTGGTGGTCAAGGGACAGGAGCATGGGTGAGTGTGTCCGGCAGATGACGGGGTGGCGGGTGAAGCGGAGGTAGAGGGAGTACTTGGTGGGATCGGGGTTTTCCAGGGACCAGGAACAACCCGGCGCCCTGGAGGGAAAGAGCTCCCTTAGGGAGAAAGAGCCATAGAGCACCCCGGCTACAAGGCTGGAACATGGTGAGGAGACGGGCGAGGGGGCCCCCTCTGCCCCGGTGCTGGGGATGCTATCGGCAGCCCCATAGGCAACCTCAGCCAGGGCAGAGAGAGGAGCTAGAGCGAGGGCAGACACGGCAGCCAGGGCCCCAGCCACAGCCAGGAGAGAGGACAGCACAGACAGACACACCCCACCAGCAGTGTTCATCCTATGACATTCGTCCTGCAGGGAGAGAGAAACGAAACAAGGACGGGGGGGGGGAGATAGGGTTGGATATTAGACATGTTATAGAATATCTTCAAACACAACCTGACAAAATCAACATGACTCAGACAAAAGAAAAACTTCAATGTACTGTACACGTCTAGACCAAAGAATCATGTCTGGTTGGAAATGTTTTTGGACAGATTTCTGCATCGCCTCGGAGTATAATATAACCAAGTTCACGGCAGCAGTTCGCATGAAGTTCTTCAAACGCACACGCACACACACACACACATACACACACACACACACACACACACACACACACAAGCCCTGTCAAAAACACAAACACATCCCTGCTGGGCTGGATTAAAAGGGTTGATGACTTGGCTGTTGAGACATGCACTGTGGGGCCTGCTCTACCCTTTCCTGCTGTTATGTGCACACAAACACATACACACACACATTCACGCACAGACACACACACACACACACACACACACACACACACACACATCGCCTGCTGAGCAGCTCCCCCAAGGCTCTGGCAAACTATTACCATCACCGACACAGTGAGGGTCTGCCAACAGCCTGATTTTGACTCGCAACACAAACACACTGCTGACAAAAAAAAAAAAAAACTCCATATACAGTGTTTTAGTATTTTGGTTGAAACTACTTCAATAGTCACTATATTTTTGTACACTCAGTGTGTCTGCTCCATCACCTGAGACTTTCAAGTGGTTCTGCATAAACGAGGTTTGAGGAGGATGTGTGGGAGACGGGAAATGTTCGCAGCACTCTACCAATAACCTTATAGCATAATATTCAGACAAGTTCCCCTAAAATATCTCTGTGTTCAGAAATTCAACAAAAAATAACCTCCCTGAAACTTTATACTTTAAACATTTCACTAAACTTGACAAAACTATTCAGTCAACCTCTATTGCTTATTATTATTTACCTTTATATAACCAGGAAGTCCCGCTGAGATTAGAAATCTCTTTTACAAGGGAGACCTGACCAAGGTAGCAGCCATACAAAGTCAAAAAACGAATATAAAACAGATACATGATACACAAATGAATATTAAAACAATAAAACGGATCGACAACTATTCAAGGACAATGGCCTCTCAGGAAAAAACTATTAATGCTTGGGAGAATATTGAGGGGCGACTCTCTTTTTCAATGACATTGAATTAAATCACTACAAGAGAGAGGACAAAGAGAAAAATAAACAATGAAGAGGTGCGCTAACAGACAAAATGCAGATGGTTAAATAAACACATTAATATTTCCTGTTTAGGCAAGGTGATGTGTTAGATAAAATAATTAAAATGTAAATTAAAGTGCAGCAATATAAAAAAAATCAGCAGATAATTAATTTAAATGTGAAATAAAATAGAATTATGTAAAACAATTGAGAGAACACTTTACTCAAAAAAAAGAAATTTAAAAAATAAATTGACTGATGCAAAAAAAAAAAGATGGAAAATTACTAATAATTTTGCAAAATATCTCCCAGCTGGAAAACCATGAGTTCATGTGATGTGATCTGCCCAAAAAGCAACAACAACAACAACAACAACAACAACAACAAAAAGAGACAGGCACCATTTTCATATTCCACTACAAGGTGCCACAGAGTGAGCATCAGTACATTAGTACTGAGCTCACGCAGACTGGACGCATATCAAGTCATTTATTGTGCTGTAAATTTCTGTCCGTGCCGCATTTACTTACAGGCTTTAAAGCTGTGATGACAAGTTATGAAGTGCCAAAAACCAACACATGATCTATTTGCATACACTGAAAAAAAATCAAACAACTAATACATATTACAGCTTCTTCTTTCAAACCAGTTGGCTAAAGTGAAGAAAAATGACTCCATCCCTGACTTTACCTTGAGACGAATGTAATGCTGCCATCTTGTAATAGGGCCTTATCATACAGATTGAAAATAAATGCACAAATGTGAGAATATGCAAAAGAAATATTAATATGTTTCACATGGAAAAAGACTGCACATCCTCCATAGTCAGGTAAAACACACAACAGTGATGCACACACAGTTAACATAGATAAGAATTATAAGGAAATACTACAAGTGAGCTACACATCGTGCTAGTACCAGCCAAGGTTACCAAACGTGTGACACAGCTGCAAAGAGCCACTTCACAAAGCATGCGTGAGCCTTTAGAGCAACTCCACTTCCCTAAGGCCTAGATTAATGAAACACAGCAGTCGCCTGTACTTCACAGGATTTATATAAGTCAGCTAAGGCTCTCCGGCATTGCACAAATCGTCCACATGGCCTGGGTGAGACGGAAGGAACTACGCTTACTTCACCATGTCCCTCTCAACCATGTCAAGTGCTTCTTCCTGTCCACAGGGTTGGGCGATGAGAGGCACTCAGGCTTACAGGTTTGAGGTGTTAATAAGAGCTAAAAATGCATTAACGGCAAGAGCAACAAAACAGGAGAGGTGTAGGGGGAGATGTAGGAGAGAGAGGTGCAATAAAATGATTGCAATTATACAGGGACTATGAAAATATGTCCAAAAGTTGCATCATTCATCATGAAAAATAAATAATCTCCTTTGGGTTTTAGGCATCCTGCTGATGCTAACTCAGAGTGATGTACGGAGCAAGAAATGGTTTACTGCCGTGCTCAAGGACAATTCACCTCCACGCAGTATTTCTGATGGAAAATAAGTCAGCTACCATCAGGGTCATGGAGAGGTCTTCGTAACCAGCACTCCACCCTGCTGTGCAGAGCAAATATTAGTAGATTGTAAATGCGAGCGCAACAATGTTTTGCAATACTACAGCACTGCAAATATGGGTGGAATAAGGGCAATAAAGTTGGACACGGAGGAATATGTATGAATTTACAGGTGCTGTATAACATTTAGAATCAGTGGATGTTGCACTGGAGCACCAGCATCTCAGACCAAAACAATCAGCCACACCTCCTCTAACAATCAGTGTGCACAAGCAAAATAATCAATAATAAGTTAGCACCGTCTCCTCAGAGCTAGAAGGTCCTTGGTTCGCATCCTGGCCTGGGCCTGGAGTTTGAATATTCTCCCTGTGCAGCGTGGGTTCTCTCCAGGTTCTCCGGCTTCATCCCACAGTCCAATAACATCCATCCATCCATTATCTATACAACGGTTAATCCTCATTAGGGTCGCAGGGGGCTGGAGTCTATCCCAGCTGACTTAGGGTGAAGGCAGGAGACACCCTGGACAGGTCACCAGTCTATCACGGGGCTACACTTAGAGACAGACAACCAAGCACACTCACATTCACACCTACGGATAATTTAGAATCACCAATTAACCTCAACATGTTTTTGGAATGAGTGGAAGGAAGCCGGAGAACCTGGAGAGAACCCACGCTGCACGGGGAGAACATACAAACTCCACGCAGAAAGATCCCGGGTGTCCTCACTGGGACTCGAACTGGCAACCTTCTTGCTGCGAGGTGATGGTGCTAACCACCGTTCAACCTTGCAGCCCCAGTCCAATAACAGGCTAATTGGTGGTTCTGAATTGTCTGAAGGTGTGAATGTGAGCATGCTTGTTTGTCTTTCTGTGTAGCCCTAAAATAAATTTCATTCTCTGCTCAGGGTGTCATTACTCTTCCATATCTTATCATAGCAGACACTTGTCTGCTGCTACATTTAGGCCATAATAATGTTCCAAATGTTGTATATAGAACCTTGAGCAAACTGTGAAGGTCGGCAGAGACACAGGAAAACATATGTACACATGTATGTGTGCTTGCTCAGAAAATACACTATACTGTTGCACAGTAGACCACACTGCAGAAAGACACTGTAGTTTTGTTCACTTATCAGGCAGTGTTTACTTTGGGAGGAGCTGGTGGTGCTGTGAGACAAGTAACCATAGCAACATCATGATCTGCTATCTTATTCTGGTTTCCTTTATCTTCGTCTTTTGTCACTGTTTGGACAGGGTTTTTTTGTTTCTCCCCCCCATCCTCCCCGCACAAGATTCTCACCTGTGCTTTTTCACTCGGAACGCATGACATGAATAGTTTTTAAGCAGCACGGGCTCCGGTTGCGGTGACACTTTGACAAATGCATGCCACAGTTGGGCTGAGGGAAGGTTAATGTAGCATGTTGTGAAATACGCTCAAGGACATCATGCTGTCTGGCATATGATGGGGTTATAGACTCTGTCACCTGAACACGCTCACCTAGTTTCAAACAAATACGGCATGAGAAAACATCCATACAGACTGCACCACAGCCGGTGACACATCCTGCTAACAATGTGTCAGTGAACTGTTAAATCCAGAAATGCACTGGCGGTGTAATGAATTATTCTATATGACAAACTGCTTTTCCGGTTTCCCAGTGCACTGAGCACAGCTGTAAAATGCACAGACATCTATGTCTACGCTATCAAAAATATATATATATATTTAAAATTTTCATTCTTTCAAAGAATTCAAATGTATCGTGCTACAGACCTATCAAATAGAATTATAGACCAAACCATGCATAGGTAAAAATACACACATTTTACGGATGAAAAGAAGTCAAAAGCGTTAAGCAAATTGTTTTTGGGACAATGAACAATGAATATTCATAGACCCACAGTCTGTGCAAGAGTAGGCCCTAAAGTGCTGTCTTCATGAGGCCATTCTGTCCCACTTCACTCTAAAACAGCACTTTACTGTGGGCATCCATAAATATTCATTAGCTTTGATGTCTTCCTTCCCCCTTCCACCTTGACATTAATGTTATCACCAAGGATGGCAAAATATGTATATCCCTCACTCCCTGTCTCTCTTTCCTCTCCCCGTCCTCTTGGCTCTGTCTTCGTTCTTTAATGCAGTGAAGTGACAAAATGAATCATCTGATCTTTGTCCTCACCATAAAACTCTTGCACGACAGAATAGTGCTGGGATACTAGTTTTAGAATAACATCGCAGCGCTAAAAGTATCACTGTCAGAGTCTTCGGTGCTATAGTACCACATGTATAGG